GGGAAAGAGGGAGAGAGAGAGTGAAAGAAAGCACTCACCAGGGAGATGACCATGCCACAATCCCCTCTCCTCAACAAGCATGCCCACATGCCCAATGTAGGGTTTTTTTCTTAATTCCATTTGTTACTATTATTTTTTATAATGATCAGAGAGACACACAGAGAGAGAAAGAAAAAGCGAGAAAGCAAGCTGCCAGGTTTGGGACTTGAGCCATTCTCAACCATATGGGAATCCAACCCCTTTAACCACCACACCACCTATAGGCCCCTGTTTTAAGCCATCAGGTCCCAGACTCAAATTGTGCAGTTGGCCATGTGGAATCCAACCCCCTTAACCAACACACCACCTGACTGGCCCTATTTTCAAGATTTTTTAGAAGCACTTTTTGTTACTTTTATTTCACAAAAAGTGAAATAAAATTTTTACAATTAACTTCTCTAAAGACAGCGCCACATCTCTAGTTATCATTCCTTGCCTGAGTTTTACCAAGATTAAAATTTTCTTAATGACAAAACAAAGGTTTCAACTGTAAAATAAACAGCTGAGTTTTCCTAGAGGGGAAAAAAAAATAAGCTATCATAGATCAAATGGTCTTAATGAATCGGAGAATAATCCTTTGAAAGTCAGGTCCTGTTTTCAATCTCCACTGCTTTGAGGTTTAATCAGAATGCTGGATCTTTAAACACTGTAGTCACTTGTGGTTTGCAGCAGGGATGGAAGGAAGGGAGCTGTCTCTCTTCCTTTGTTTTATCTGGATGGGCAGGCTTATCCAGAGACCTGTCCTGCTGCCCCCCTCCAATCCAGCAGGCAAAAACAGCAAGAGAAGAATAACATATTCTGGCTATGAGTGTTGATTAACATGTTTGGAGACTGTTTAAGGGAGCTGGGTTAAGACCCAATAGATAGGTGCTCAAGGCCAGCACTGAAGGGAATAAAAGCTGACAGCAAACTGTCATCAGCTGGCCTTCCCTGGCATTAGGCCCTAAAGAGGAAACAAAATAGGCCATTCAGGGAGAACTACCAGCAGCAGAAAGGGGCCTTGCATACCTGGGGCTTTATACCTATTTGTTACTTCATTTAGTCCTCACAGAACTATAGCCTCACTTTACAGATGAAGTAATGGTGGGCCAGGAAGGCAAGTGCCATGCCCAAGCCCACATCCCTGGCGTGGGTGGTCTTGAAGGTCTCTAATTGAGATCCTGAGGGTTCTTTTCTCTGAAGGATATAACTAAAAGTAGTCAATGACTATGAAAAAAAAATTAAGTCAACATACTACCACATCTTATCAATAAGTTTTTCTCATTTTTTCAAGATATCCAACCCCACTTGAAGTGATAAGCAGGTAAAGGGTTAAGTCTTACATAAAATTCTTCAGATGCTTCTGGAGGTCCTGGAAGTAGAGAAGCCTTTGGTGGCAATTTGAGTTCATATGTCATTATACTCCACCTGAAGGGAGAAAAAAAATCTTTGGTCTAAAATTCCTTTAAATTTTAATAAACTGCATATGTATATGAATATACACACATAAATTTATAGTCATGAACAAAAGTTTACTGCATCCTAAAACAACCAAAAATAAGGCCAGCAGGTTGAAAAGAGGTTAAGGCACTGGATCCCACATGGCCACCTCCGCGGTTCAAGTTCCACACCCAGTGGCTTCAGAATCACACCCAAAGTTTTTGCATGCCCCAATCCTGAGGAGATTGTAAGAGAAGAGATGGTGGTGTGGCCATCTCCCCTGGAGCACACACACCGACAGCAAAGAACTAAAAACAACCAAAAGTGAGGGAAAGCATTGAATTTTGGTATAGGATTTACATATCTTACCATTTCTCTGAGTAGTGGTTTCCAAGTTTTTTTTTTTTCTTTTTCTTTTTTTTTAGAGAATTTTGCTATAGGGCATGAGGGCATGTGTACTTGTCAGAGAGAGAAAGAGAGACAGAAAATGAGAAATCACCCCCCTTGGGGGATGGCCACACCACAATCCCTTCTCCTCCATTCTCCTCTTAGAATTCTGGGCGTGCACGCACACACGTGTTTGTTTGTTTGCTTGTTTGGTTTTTTTAATATAAGAATTATTTATTTAATTTTATTTACTCATTAATTTATTTTCATTTAACCAGAGAAAGAGACACACAGAGAGAAGGAACATGAGAAAACAAACCACCAGGTCCTGGACTTGAACCGTGGTCAGTGACGTCACAAATTGCTGGGTCCCGGACTCTAATTGCGGTCAATTATGTGGGAGTCCAGCGACATAACTATTATGCCATCTGCTGGTTCCAGTTTCTAAGCATTTTAAGACCATGGCCCACAGTAACAAAATGCACATATGTAACAGTACTTGCTCTTCTTCAACAGGAGCAATGTACTTTTACACCTCTATTCTTTCTGGGGCATATTACACACATGCTTGCCATGTTTTTTTTTTTTTTTTTTTTTTTGGTGTGGTTTTTCTAA